TATTTTGTCAGTAGCCTGCCAAATAAGGTTTAAGATAACACAACTCAATTATATATATATATATATATATATATATATATATATATATATATATATATATATATATATATATATATACATATATACACACATGGTTATATTATATTTTCTATGTGTTAATAAACTTATTTGATAAAGTTTGTGTTTGAATGTTCTATTTTTATGATATTTGGGATTGGATAGTTTTTGTTTTTGGCCACTTTCTGTTAAAATTGTCAATTTTTAAACTCGGAAAATAAATTTTTTAAAGAAGTTAAAATATGTTACAAAAACTTAAATATTTTCTTCTTTCATGGTTTGGCGTGGGTAGGTTCATTCCTGGACCCCCCACTATCTGGATTTTCCACTGTGAGTCTCATTCAATAAAGTTCCCATCAACAAAACCACCAGAGAGTTCAATGTTTTCTATGGACGCAATATTAAGAAAATGTTTCAGATTTCTCTAAAGAATTGTTGAACATGCAACTGAAACACGATTCTTAGAAATTTGTAGGTTGTGATCTGTGCTGGAGTTTTTCATCGATTCGAATGAATTTTTAATTTTAAATTTTTGTTTTAATTATTTTATATGCATTTTTACTGAAACAAAACTTTTTCTGTAAAGCCATCTTTAAAACATCTTTCTCAGTAAAAACATCTCTAAAGTTTGTTTCTTTTCTCAAACAACCCTGTCAGACACTCGTAAAATGGACTTAAAAGTTACAGTCTAAATTAGTTGAAATTGAAATTCATTTCCGGCAAAATGAATATCTACGAAATCATTTTAACTTTCAATTAATCAGTGCATTTGAATTCTGTTGGAAAATAATTAAATATTTTCTACGTAAATTAAATCACTATAAAGTTATAATAATGCATTAGTGATCGGAATTATATAAAAGTGAATAACAATATATATATATATATATATATATATATATATATATATATATATATATATATATATACATTACATAGACTTTCATAAAGTTGTATGCTGATAGAGTTTTTAAGAATTTAACATACAACGCTTAGAAGATGTTTTAGAAATTTGTCAGTGCATAAAATCAATGGATGAACATTTGAAAGCAATTTTAAGTTTTTAAATTAAACAACAATTCTCATTTGCATACTTAAGAGGATTTTCAATCCTAACAGAATCTATAATATATTCAACTAAATTTCGTTGACTTGCTAAAAATCGTTCAAGTTTTTCTAACGCGAGACATCGCCGTAAAGTTAACTTTTTTTCAATTTAAATGTGCATTTTTTAGTAGTCAATATTCGTGTCGATACAGGCTGTTGGTGCACTCTGAGGAAGGTAGGTAGCTGATCAGATGGGCCAAAAATGCATACTTCATTGGCAGAAATTTTTTTTTAGAAGACCCACAGTTTTGAATTTGAATGTTTTGCCTCGACAGCAAAACAAAAACATTTTTACAATTGTTTAAATGCATAAAAAGTTATCAAACCCTGACCCTAAATTTACGACCTTATCTCTGAGCATATAAAACACTGTGGTTTATAAGGCAATGTATTCAAATTACCAATAAAACGATAGGTAACTTTTTAGAACGTTTGATTTTTACATGGAAATTTATATTTTACCAAGTTAATTTTTTCAGTTAGAACTATATAAATAATCTTTAAAATAACGAAATAATCAGCGTTAACATTTGAAATAACTGGAACGTACCTTGGAATGGGATGGATTTGTCTGACTCAGATCTGGAATTCAGCTTGGAGATGTACAAACATCTGGCGCATATGCATCCAGCTTCCAACGTCATGTTTTCGCCAGTCAGCATCCTTCTCTCTCTGGCCATGCTTTACCTCGGAGCTGATGGTCAAAATTTCATTCTAGAAATTTTTTTATATTTCTAAATTTTCATAGCATTTGATTTGGAGTAACATCTAATTTGAAAAACTATTTGGTATTAGTTAGTTGTCTGGTGTTTCTTATTTTAATTTTGCTACTTTTAAATAACAAATGAGGTTTTTATTAAACACAAACTGACAGATTTTGAGAGTTCTTAAATTTGTAACTTGGCAACATTTTTGATGTTTTTGTATCGTCAAATGTTTTTGTAAACTTTTCATATACTCTGACATTGATTTGCAAATTAAGGATTTAAATTACCAATTGTATTTTCTTTTCTCTCGCTATTCATTCATTGATATAACCAGAACTACAACAAATTATAACCTATGTTCTCTGGATTATGATAGGATCAACAAAAAAGAAGTTGAAATCCAGTCTGAAGTTGAAGAACTCTGACGATGACGACGTCCACAGGCACTTCCAGACTTTGAAGAACTCCTTGGCGGTGAGAGGGACTGAGGCGTCCTTGAATGTCACAAACCTACTCTACTGCAATGTCAGTGTCACTCTGCTCCAGCCATTCATTGATGATTCCAGAAAATACGATTATTTTAAGGAACCTAACTCTTGCGATTTCAAGTGAGTTTCACATTTTATGTTTAATTAAATTGATAATTAAAATTTAAATTGAAGTTCTCTAATTTATGAGGTTCGTTTATTCATTCATCTTGAGATAATAATTGTTTATTAAATAATCAGTCAGAATATTTCAAAATTTTAAATGCTAGAAAGGATGTAGAAACCTGCAGAAGAGACATAAACAAAAAAGTCGAAGACCTGACAAACCACAAAATAACAGACTTAATCTCTCGTAATAGCTTGAAACGCAAGACAAAATTTATTTTGATCAATGCAATTTCATTCGCGGCTAAATGGGGAAAAAAATTTTTCAGTTGGTGACACAAGCGAGGATATATTTTACCTCAACTCTAGCAACCAAGTTAAAACATATTTCATGAAGCAAGAATCTTTGACAGCCCCCTACCAAAAAAGTTCAGAATTGGATAGTCACATTCTCCATCTACCCTACAAAGGTTCGTACCATTTTCTTATCGTCCTGCCAACGGACAACTACGCCTCACTGGATTCGGTTGAGAAGAAACTAACGAAAGATGTTGTGACAAGTTGGAAAGAAAAGTGGAGTTCATACGAAGTCAAGTTACACCTGCCTAAGTTCAAGTTCGATTCCGACGTTCGTGCAAAAGCACTTTTAGTGAAGATGAACATCAAAAACCTCTTTAGCAAGAAAAAATGTAATCTATCAAAACTATCAAAAACAGATAATAACTACGTTGACGATATATTTCAAAAGACTCACATCTCAGTAAATGAAATCGGCACTGAAGCCTATGGGGTAACCGACACCCGCGGATTATTGGGAGCGGCCCGTCCCCTTAAAGACCTCCCCCACGTCGACGTTATAGCCAACCATCCATTCCTATTTTTCATTCGTGATGGAAAAAGTGAAACAATCATCTTCATGGGGAAGTTCGTTAAACCCTAAGATGAACTTTCTTAGTTTAGGAAATTTTCATTGGATGTGATGCATCGTTTGCAAAACGTTTAATATCAGCTGGTGTCCCATCCCATATAATATCATTATTCAGTATCAATTTTAAATTGAATATTTTATAAAAATGAAATACTAACGTTTTTGGTTACGGTGTTTTGCTCTTTGATCAATCATCTCATCTTAGAATTCATTTGTCTGAGGTGATGGGCCAACATTATCATAATGGGTTTGAATAGGGTGTTGTTTGAAAACATGAAAAAACCTAACTTTTTAATAAATTTTCAACTAATTTGATCAATTGAGGTTACGGAAATATTATTTAAATCAATTTTTCATTAAAATTTTCTGCAATCTCTTGAAAAAAATTTGTCAAATTTAATTTAACCAACCGACGTGTTTATTCGTGTTTGGTGAATAATGTACACACGCTAATTCGTACTCTCTTTGTATGCGTATGACCGTCAACTGCAAAACTTTTAATCCTACATTTAAACAACCTATCTGTCACAAGAATAATATTTTTTCCCTCAAGTTGCCTAAATAGAACCAGTAAAAATGTAACTTTAATAATAGTGATAATGTATTATTATTACATTATTAATATCAAGAACAGCAAAATAAAAGTAATAGAATAATATAATTATTATTTTATAACATAATTTGTTTATAGCCTTAATCCTAGCAACACTGGGTTAAAGGTTAATCTCTCTCTTTTACATCTGCTTCAGGGGTTTCAACGACAAACACAAACCACTCATCATACACATTGCATACGATAGGCCGGGATCTCTTTGTATTCGAACCCAGTCATTGCAATAACAAGACCAGGCACCTTTATTCGTTGAGCCATCACGCCGCCGAATGTATAAGCTAAGTGTCGTCGTTATATTAGTTTCTAAGTGGAAATGTGATTATTGCATTCCAATCATGAGTTTGATCTTACCGTCGTCACATTTGAAAGCAAATTGAAAGCAAATTTGATGTGACTGAATTAAACTATGCAGAGTGTTAAAAATATGCAGAAGAAACTTATTTTCCATTGTGAAATCTAACACAATCAATGATTTTTGCTCTGAGTTTGGAATTTTTCTGTTTCAAAATTGTCGAATATTTTGTCTCAACACACATCTGTGTATTTGATCTTTCTAAAAAGTTTATTACAATTTTTTTATTGAATTGAGAGAGAGAGAGAGTTAAACTTCATTTGAATTTAAGATGAGAATCTTTTTCATGAACATTCAATAAAATATTCAAGACAATTTTTGAAAGAAATCTTCTATACCAATGCAAAGCTTGATTGAAATTCAAATGTTGTTCGATCAGAAGCAGAGAGTTGTATTTCAAACTTTATGCCAATACTGCAGTCAATGAAGACTCATTTTGGTGGTACGAACTTTTTAGGGTACGTAATTCATCAGTTGTGACCCACAGCAGAGTGGTTTGTTTGTAAGTGCATTTATAACGGTGTAATGGTCAACTTACCTGGCACTCATATTGTAGTGACTGGCTTCGAATTCTAGCATATCACATGCATGTGGATCTGATGAGCATTAGCGGATCTAGACAACTTTGACGGGAACCAAAAATTTTAAAATAGTTCAAACTTTGACAATCGTTTTTAAAAAAATGACTTTTATTAAAAACACTGCCCCAATGAATTTAGTCAAATAAACACATGGATCATAGTAGCCCAAATTTTACATATGCAAAAAAAATACAATTTTCTCATCTTGGTTCCGGATATTGTATAAACATTAGTAGATTAATAGACATATAGGAGCAAATTCATCTATAAAAATGTAAAACACTCTTAAGCTTCGTTCAGCTAACTTAGTAGTTTTTGAAAAAGAACTGTGCAATTATATTCAATTAACAACATGTTTTCTCATATTTTATATTTAATTTTCTGTAATTTTATAATTAAATAATTTATTTTAAATTTGATCAGATAAAAAATTGTTTAAGATGGATGCCAGTAGGGAGTTCAGCCTGGATGTCTACGGCAAGTTCCTTGAACTTCAAACAGCGGATATCGCCGCTGTGTCACCCCCTGCTCTTTTAATCTCACTGGCCATGATCTACATGGGGGCCGAGGGTAAAACCCTCGTCATTTCATTCGTCATTCGCATGTCATTTCAAATGTCATTTTGGTGGAATTTTCTAATCAAAAATTGTTAAACTATTATGGATGTTTCAATTTATTTACGATTGCAAATTTTTAAGCTGTTAAACCATTAAAAATGTAACAAGAGGAATCAAATACGTGAAGATTCATTGTTTTTTAGAAAAACATTGTTGCGTGAAATTTATTACAAATTTGTGCAATAAGCTGAAAGAATATTTCAATATAATCTTGATTTTATATAAGTTTGTTTTTGCCGAGTCGTTCAGAGAGAAATATTTTGCACCCCTCAAACATTGCAGTTTCCTGAAAGTCATTTCGTTTGAAAGTCACCACACAAAGTCTAACAATAATTTCTAAACATTTGTGGGTGCTTACTAAATTTCAAAGATTATTTATTAATTTAAGAGTTTTTGCAATTAAAAAAAAATATAAAAAGCGGGAGAACTATAACCCAATTTATTAGCCCTGTTAGGCATCACACTTGAAAAACTCATTGCCAACGCAGCAGATCTGCTAATAAATTGTTACAATTTTTGGATTCAGCGCAAATGGATATGCACTTTGATCTCTTGTTATCTTACAGGCTATAAAATTCTGATTTAATCAATCAATCAATCAGTCAATCAATCAATCAATTTTTTTAGTAAAACGCTATTTCCGCGATGCTCAACGGCACTCCTTAGTGAATTTTGCAAAAAGATGGAGTCTTGAGATTCGCTCTGAACCCCGTAAGTGATGAAGAACTAGTCAAAAAAGAAGTTAGAAAGTTCCAGAGAAAATGGGCCAAAAAAGAGTATCTAACACAAGTTATGAAGAAGTGGGTACAAGAAGACGATACTAAACCTGGGCGTTTGGGTTCAATTAGTATATCTGATAAGTACTTAGGAAATAATTTAGATTGAGACTTGTACATAATTGTGCAAATTTTAAAAATTATTCTATATTTTATAGGTAGCCAGTTCAAGAGAACAAGATATGGAGATATATATGAAGAAAAAGGGGCACGAGAAAGTAGACGAATAGCAGAGTTAAAAGCTTTATTTAAACAATAGAGTGTAGACTCAGGAAGACCATAATAGATGGAGTTACAATAATCAATCCTAAACAAAACTAAAGAAGTAATAAGAAAGAGAAAAATAGGATCGTCAAGATAAAAATTTTGTTAAGTTTAATCAAATGTTCAGATGGAATTATTAATTTTAACGTTCATTTTATAACAATAAAACAATTATTTAGTAATTTATTAGTTAAACTTTTAATTAAGGGCAAGGAAAATTTTGTAAGATTACCTAAACTAGCAATATTTTAACAGGCGATGCAAAGGACGAGATAAAAACCTGCATGAAACTCTCTGGCAAGTCTGATGATGAAATGGATGAGTATCTGGAGTATTTGGAAAAGACGCTTGGAACAAAAAATAGGTATGTTTCATTGATGGCGACCAGCTATCTTTACAGCGATGCAGAATCTCCCTTGCTAGACTTCTCTC